AATAATAATAATAATAATAATAATAATAATAATAATAATAATAATAATAATAATAATAATAATAATAATAAAGAAGATGATGGTGGATTAAAAAGAATTTATTGGTCATCATTATCTGAAACAGTGGATTTTAATCCCAGAGTATATGTAGAATTTGTAATTAATTATTGTCCCAATCTTTGGTTTGTTTCAATTTATATCAAAGATAATTCATTAACTGAATTGGAAGTTTTATTATCAAATTTAAAAAAGCTTGAAGGTATAGAAATTCAAGTAGATGGTAAAACTGATACCACAAAATTATTTGATATCCTATGTACCAAATCACCTTCAATTTTAAATTATTTAATTTTTGTGGATAATCATTGTGATTGGATGGTTTTACCTGAAATGTTAGAATCCTTTTTTTTGGAATGGGGAAAGAAACGAAAAAAAAATATGTTGAAAATTTATTTTCAATGGGATATCATTGATGTTGAGAATTATAAAATTATTAAAAAATATAATCAAAAAGGTGTCATTCAAGAATATGCATTTGATTTTGATAACATTTTTCAAATTGAAGAAATAAGAAATAGATTTGGTTATGATAATTTGTTTCCAACCACTTTTGATGATGAATGAATGATTTTTAGATTTTTATTAGTTATTTATTTATTTGCTTGTTTATTATCATATTTATTATTCTTTATTTTATTTTTATATATATTTAATTTATTATTTATTGATTTTTTTTTTTTTTTTTTAATTTATATTAGTTATTTATTATTTTATTATCCATTCAATTTATTAGATAATTCATCAATTTATTTAGTAATTTTATATTATTTATTATTATTTTTTTAGAATAATTTAAATTTTCCAGAAAATAAAATAGATTACCTAACCATTATACCATTATATCATAGCAGATCAAGTTGATCAAATATTAAACTTTGCATTTGCATTACATAACTAATTTAAAAAAAAATAAAATGATATCATTCATGGGAAAAAGAGTTTAATGTCGTGATACAATACAATTAAGATTTTAATAAATAAATATTAGAACGAAAGAATATTTTGTGTGTAGAGTTTAACCGAATAGCGTGATCAATTTAGTTAATTTAAATAATTTGTTTTTTTTTTCCTCCATTTTGTTATCAACGAAAATAAATTAAATAAAAAAAAAAAAAAAAGATTAAAAAAATAAATTAAAAGTAATTAAAATAATTAAAATAATGGATAAACTTTCACCTACACTTGCCGCTATAAAACGTGTAGTGGTGGTATTGAATTCCTTATCTTTGGTATTATTCTTTCCATTTTTTTTTTAATTTCTATTTAGTTATTTCCCTCTTTCTTTAATCTATTTTTATTACTTTTTTATTTATTTATTTTTTTTTGTCTCTTTTATTAACATGAAAGAGAAAGAGAGAAATAATGAAAATAATTTTTTTTATATTATTATTCTATTTTATCTAGCTCGCGGGATTTATTTTGATTGCTACTGGTATATTCCCTAATATTTACTTTTTTTTTTTTTTTTTTTTGTGAAAGCAAAAAATATGGTTGCACATTTAATATTTAATCCTGTTTTTTTACTTAATAAACAAACAAACAAACAAATAATCTATAATATAAATAATCAAATAATAATAATAATAATAATAATAATAATATATATAACAGGATATTATTTTTATGGTGCTGAATCTGAAGTAACTCATGTTACGTCTTCCTCTCTTCGTTATAACTTCGCATATGCTCTAATTACGATTGGTGGTTTTATATCTTTGGTTAGCTTCTTTGGTATGATATAATTTATAATTTATTTATTTGATTTGATAATTATAATTTTTTATTCATTAATATTAAATTCTCTATTTTAACTTTTTTTAGGTTGTTATGGAGCAGCAAATGAAAAAATAAGTTTTTTACAAATATATGTATCATTATTGTTCTCGTTAATAGTTTCTCAGATAGGTGAGATATTCAAATTTTATTATATTTTTGAATATGAATATTTATTATATATTTATTATTATTTATATTTAACATTTCTAATATCATTATCATTAGTTATGGGAAGTTTTGCATTTGCTTATCGTCAAGATGTAAGTTGATTATTTAATTCAAATTAAATTAAATCTAAAAAATTAAAGGTTAAATCTAAAAAAAAAAAAAAATTCAAAATTAATTTTAAATCTTAAAATTTAATTAATAATAATTAACCAATAATAATTAAATAATAATAATTTAATAATAATTTAATAAATAAATAGGTTGATTATATTCTTGATCAATCATGGTCAAATGCATATCGTGAAGAACCCCACCTCATACTTAATGTGGAAAATTATTTTCAATGTTGTGGATTTAATTCAATTAATGATAGAGTAGTTGAACCTTGTAGATTTTATGATTCATGTCATGAAATGATGAAAGATCCTTTAATATATAGTTTACAAACAATCGGAATTGTGGGTGTCGTATTGGGAATATTGGAAGTACGTTTGTTATTTTAAATTATTCATTTTTATTATTTATCAATTTTATATTTTAAATTATTGATTTATTTATTTTATATATATTATTATTATTATATATATTTTGTAGCTTCTTTGTTTATTATTAGGAATAATTTTATTCTTTCATATTATTCGAGTTCATTATTCCGAAGAAGGAATAGAAGAAAGACAAGCTTTATTGACTAGAGGGGGAGAAGAAACGCGTGAAAATATTTATCAACGTAGAGACTTTATTATTGATTAATAATAATAATAATAATGATATATCGTTATTTAATATTAAAAAAAAAAAACGCGTAGCAGTTGAGAATTATTTTATAAATTATTTTTAAATTTATTCAAAGGTTTAGTTATAAATAAACAAAAAGTCATTATTGTTATTTAACAAATTAAAAAATTATTATTTATTATTTATTAAAGCACATTCTGTGTTCAAATATATATATATATATTTTTATTTAGATAAGATGAATTTAAGATGAATTTGAGATGAATGAATGAGATGAATATGAGAGAAATGTATTATAAAAAATTTATTATGATATATTATTATAATATAATATATATTCTTTTATACATATATTTAATGTTTATTGTATCATAATTATTGTTACTATTTATATTTGATAAATTATCCTCAATATTCTCCCCCCCAAAATAATAAATAAATAAAATGAATGGATGAATGAAGGAATGAATGAATATTATATATCTAATAAGTGAATGTATAAAATATTAATATTATCTAAATTGCATAAAATTCACCTTGTGTATTCTCATAACCTTGGTTATTTTCATAAACTTGTGTATTACTAACATCAGTAGTATTAATATTAGTATTTACAGGGATAGGGATATAAACTTGTGTATCAGTAGTATTACTATTATTAGGAGTATAATATTGTTCATTGTCAGGTGAAGATCTATTACTATTAATATCCATTAATTTACTTTGATCTGTTATTTGACCTTGAGTTGAATAATTTATTACTTCTGTATTAGTATCATTATTATTATTGACATTTATATTATTATTAACATTTATATTATTATTATTATTATTATTATTATTATAATCTTGATATACTCCTGATTGACTAAATTGTTGTGGTGGTGGTGGTGGTTGTTGTTGTTGTTGTCGTTGTTGTTGTAGAGGTGGAATTTGTGATGAATATTGTTGAGGTGGAATTTGTGATGAATATTGTTGAGGTGGAATTTGTGATGAATATTGTTGAGGTGGAATTTGTGATGAATATTGTTGAGGTGGAATTTGTGATGAATATTGTTGAGGTGGAATTTGTGATGAATATTGTTGAGGTGGAATTTGTGATGAATATTGTTGAGGTGGAATTTGTGATGAATATTGTTGAGGTGGAATTTGTGATGAATAT